GCCGGCGAAGCCTGGAATTGGTTAAAGGAACAAAAACTTGCAGACGTTGATGAGTCAATCATAAACCATATATACAACCATCCCATCATACCAAAATGGAAAAAACAAACTTCTTCTATGGGGCGTTTGATTCATCAACGGTCTACATGAGAGCGGTTTCGGACCATTCTTCCAACCTGCCGGACTTCGTCCGGCCAGGTGAAACCCCAAACGCACCGTCCATGCGTGAGGGTAACGGGTCACGTGAGAGTCGTTTCGCTTTGGCGACCAAGTCCTGGGGTGTGCATTTCAATACACCATGAGACACCCAACCAACGGGTTTCGTCGATCTTCCTTTTTCCAGGAAGTCTTTGGGAGGTCTCGAGTATGTTAATACACGCCCACTTGCTTTCGTTGGAAGTTCCTACAGTATACAGATGCTGATGGAGAATCTTGTTTTCGCCAGCTGTGTGCTGCTCGAATTAAAGGGTGCAAAGCCGCCTGCAGCAACCTCCATGACCAGCTCTCACCGTCCAGATCGAGACAACATCGCATGTCCATGTGACCATGTCGAAAAACAGCAAGATAACTGCTGCCAAGCTGATACATGCCAAGCTGATCGACGTCCACCTTTCTTCACCCAACAATAGTAGAACCAGGTGAGAGAACCCCTTTTTCATCTCCAGAGAGGGTCAACTCATGATTACGCCAGTTCGAGGTTCGACAAGTTCGTTCAAGAGCAGTTCTCCTAATTGGCTGCACCCATGCATGCTGAACCTGACACCTGAAGCACCTCAAAGAGCTGGGTGTTCAGGTCTCAGGTGACGGTGTCGGTGTCACAAAATGGCTCTTCTGTCCCTTCCGCCCCGATTTCAGTGGATAGCCGAGAATGTGGCCAGCGCTTTTAACATCAAAAATGTGGAGAGCACCATCCAAGAGAACCTGAACCACAAGAAGCTTACAGAGTTCTTGGAGGGGAAGACCAAACAGTAGCTTGGGACTTGCTCATTCAAGTTGGTCCTTAGGCCTTTCCAAGAATAATTAACTACCATAGTAACTACCATGTATCTTACTGCGGTGCCATTGCTTACTACCATTGTGTAACAATATATGCTTCCAACACACACATATAGATAGATAGACAGATAGATAGATAGATATAGAGATAGAGATAGAGATAGAGACAGAGATAGAGACAGAGATAGAGATAGAGATAGATAGATAGATAGAGATAGAGATAGAGA